CACGAGGTCAGGAGATCGAGACCATCCTGGCTAACACGGTGAAACCCCGTCTCTATTAAAAAATACAAAAAACTAGCCGGGCGAGGTGGCGGCGCCTGTAGTCCCACTACTCGGGAGGCTGAGGCAGGAGAATGGCGGAACCGGGAGGCGGAGCTTGCAGTGAGCTGAGATCCGGCCACTGCACTCCAGCACGGGCGGCAGAGCGAGACTCCGTCTCAAAAAAAAAAAAAAAAAAAAAAAAAAATAGGTAATCTATATATATTGATATCTATTAAAAAATGGAATCAATACCTAATAACCTTACAGAAAACTTATATATTCCATAAATCTGACATTCTGTCATGTTATTCTAACTGGTAGGATTCATGGATTTTCATTTTGATAAGAACATAGGTGAGTCTCACACACTTAATTTTAGTGCTCATTGGTCAGAAAAGCCATGTCCACTATAGGATACTGCGGAACGATGCGTTATGGAGAATTTAGGCAAGATAATATGATTTTCAGAGTTAAAGGAAGACAACCTGATTTATGTACAGTAATTCCTCATAATATCATAGGGGATACCATATTTAAACTTTGGGGTATCCCCAGGTATAATTCTTATTTGAGCCACCTGTGAATTTCAGACACGGAGGCTTCCCAACTTTGGTGGCTTTCAATGAATGTGGAAGTTAACTCACAACCTATTTTGTGGAGGCATAAAATTCAATGAGCACTCATTTAACCTTTTATTTTAAATATTATTTTTGTAAACTTGCATTTCCAATTAGTTGAAATTTTAAACCTGTTTCAGTTCTTATCCACTTTTTTTTTTCCCCCCTGAGACGGAGTTTTGCCCTGTCACCCAGGCTGGAGTGCAGTGGCATTGTCTCAACTCACTGTAACCTCCGCCTCCCAGGTTCAAGCGATTCTCCTGCCTCAGCCTCCCGAGTAGCTGGGATTACAGGTGCCTGCCACCACGCCCAGCTAATTTTTGTATTTTTAGTAGAGATGGGGCTTCCCCATGTTAGTCAGGCTGGTCTTGAACCCCTGACCTTGTGATCTGCCCACCTCGGCCTCCCAAAGTGCTCGGATTACAGGCCTGAGCCACCGCACCCGGCCTCTCCACTCTTTTTAGGTGGAAGGGAGTAAGGGTTTCTTGGAATTAGGAGGAACTCCCATGTACCCAACCCATTTGGGTAAATTTCTTCCTTCAGAGTTTTTCAAATCAGCATCACCATTGTTAAAGGCCTCCCACATGGTAATAATTGTGCTACAGGGTTTTATAAACATGAAGTCTATGTTTGGCTGAATGAACCTCCTTGCTGTGGCACAAGGGGGCCATAGGTGTTTTCACCAATTATGAAGCGGGTTCACTGTGCAATGGCTACCAACTTTTCTGAGCACAATGAGGCCAAATACATTCATAGATAAATTCCATGAAGTGAATTTATTACTTACAAATAGCAAACAAAAGACAACAGAAGTCTAGGATTCAATGTGAACCACTACCACAAGATCAGGAAGGCTACCCAGAGCAGATGGATGGAGTTTTGACTATAAATGCTTCACTTGCACTACAACTGAGGGACCCCAGAAAGAAGCCCACATTGAGTTTTCTCCCAGGATGTGGTTTGCTGGACACAAGCGTTAAAGGCCATTCTGTTTCGAGCAGGGACTATAACAGAGCCTGGGCTGTTCTGACCAATGTCACTTGATTATCAGGATATTGCCTTCCCAGCATATCATACAGTAATCTTGAGAACTACCAGTAAGAAAGGGAGGAAAATGGACCTGCACCTTTAAAACTGAAGGATCAGGATATTTGCTGTGACAGAGGCACAGACAGTAGCGACAGAGTGTTCTTGTGAGCCATCTACTAGTTCTCTTAACCGGAGCGTGGCACCAGACCGCTTTTCTATTTCCTTTCAATGGAAACTATTTCAGAATTTTTGAATTTCTACATCTATAGAGTTGTGGCACATGATCACTGGCAGTGTAGACTCTCTGCATGGTTAAAGGAAAGAGTTCAGAAGCCCATCAACCCACATTGGAGGAGACCACCTAATCCTCCAGAGAGTGTCACTCCATCTTCCTGGGGTTAGCTCCACATGCAGTAAGGCCACTATAACTAAGGCCGTCAAGACTTGCAGTCCGAAGATGAGACTTTTGACATGCTGATAAGCAGCAGTGATAAGAAAAGCCCACACACTGGTCAGGAATTTTTCAATGAAAGCAGCTGAGACGCTTCTTCATATGCTTCGGTAGGGGCTAATATCAAACTATTTTCTTTCTTCTTCCCATTTTCTTTACTCAGCAGTGCCTGAACCATGAGGCACCATAGATGTACACCTCATCAGGAGGGTGTATGGTACAGCAGCAAGGGGAGCAGCAGCACAAGAAACAAACAAGGCCACTACTTCTGCTTACATAATAACTATTGTCTTGGAGTGTAAAATAATTAATAATGTTCACATGGCTGCCCTAAGCACACAGAGATGGTGACCAGAGCAGATGCAGGGACTGCAGAGATACAGCCTGATTCTTGCTAATTAGGACTTAAGTGTTGGCTTATGTGCTGTGCTTTTGTGCATTCATAAGCCAGGGCCTCAAAACTGCCTGCTAAGCACAGGCCAAAGGTCATGCTGGGGTGCAGTTAAACATTGATGTCTAGGAGATGAGAGCATTTTAGTGTGGAAGAAGATGACAACACCTGAAGACCACAAAACACTGTGCAGACCAAAGGGAACGCCCATCGTCAGCTCACGGTTCTGACCCAGGTGACTGCTGATGTGTTACGGAACAGTCAGCCCACAGCAGGTAGGTCAAGTTGAGCTGGTGTCCTGCATTGAGGGCTGATCCATTCCATTCGTGTTGCCAATTGTTTCAATAGCGTCTCATGCACCCCACTGGTGAGGAAGGAATTAGCACCCTATGTTTACTGGCACCGTTAAACACATAACATCTATTACTAAACAGATAAGCCAGACATCAGTTATTAATTACATACAGGAGGATGGTGTAAGCTCCCACAGGCCCAAACAGGGATTAACTTGAGCGCAGAGAGTGGTATAACATTAAAAAAGTGAGGATATTCCTTTTTTTTTTTTTTTTTTGACACAGAATCTCGCTCTGTCACCCTTGCTGGAGTGCAGTGGTGTGATCTCGGCGCACTGCAAGCTCCGTCTCCCGGGTAAACTGTATGTACTTAGGAATTAATACCAACTCATTATTAGCAAAAAATAAATATCTTTACATCAAGAGTAGTTTTTCATTTAATAAAAATAGGTGGGATGTGTATAATGGACAAGGGATAATCAAAATTTGCCAAATGAGGCTAGTAAGACAATCCCAAGAATTCACAATCATTATTCACTGGTCCATTAATCACAGGACAATACATACAAATGAAACTTACCTGACCGGGCGCAGTGGCTCATGCCTGTAATCCCAGCACTTTGGGAGGCCGAGGCGGGCAAATCATGAGGTCAGGAGTTCAAGACCAGCCTAGCCAACATGGTGAAACCCTGTCTCTACTAAAAATACAAAGAATTAGCTGGATGTAGTGGCGTTCACCTGTAGTCCCAGCTACTCGGAAGGCTGAGGCAGGAGAATCGCTTAAACCCAGGGGGCGGAGGTTGCAGTGAGCCGAGATCGCACCACTGCACTCTAGCCTGGGCAACAGAGTGAGACTCCATCTCAAAAAGAAATAATAATGAAATAAAAAAATTAAACTTACCTACATATTAGAAAAACATCCAAATTCAACCATGAATCCAGCACATTATCAAATGAATAGACAAAAATTCTACCAACAGACTTAAGAAAATATCATTATCTATGAAATTCAAGTACTACTGCTTAAAGAACATTTACAGAACTCTCACCTCAAGGTTTCCCTGCAAAACAAGGTGAAATGCATACTCAAGACTCTTTAAGAATGGGCCACTGATAAAAACAATATACTTGTAACTTGTGTAACATTTCATAGATTTTTTTCAAGCACTGCACGATAATTAATTTGCATCAGGCTTTCCAAATTAGAAAAGCTTCACTTATAGAACTTCTTTCCAGTGGGAGTTTTCACACGGCTTTTCAAGTAAATGTTAAAACTGAAAATATTCTTGCAGTTTCTAAACTGTTAGAGTTTTAATCCTGTGTACGTTCTTGTATTTACAAGGTCCAGCCAGCTACAGCGTGCATTTTCATATGTCCTTGAGTGGGTATGAGAGAAATGAAACACTCAAACATTCTGGACATTCATAGGGTTTTTCTCAGGAATGAGCTGATGTCTTCAAATGGAACTAATACAACCGAAGGCCTTACCATAAATTTAAATTCAAAAGCCTTTTCTCCACTCTGAGCCCTCCCAAATCTTCAGGAAAATCTGAAGGCTTGACCACATTTCCTACATTCTTAAGGTTTCTCTGCAGTGTGAGCTCTTTCATGTTTATGAGGGAATGGGAAAGAGTAAATGTTTTACCACATTTCTTACATTCAAGGGGATTTATTTATTTATTATTTTTGAGATGGAGTCTCACTCTGTCGCCAGGCTGGACTGCAGTGGCACAATCTCGGCTCCCTGCAACCTCCGCCTCCTGGGTTCAAGTGATTCTCCTGCCTCAGCCTCCTGAGTAGCTGGGATTACAAGCATATGCTACCACACCCAGCTATTTTTGTATTTTTAGTAGAGACGAGGTTTCACCGTGTTGGCCAGGATGGTCTCGATCTCCTGACCTCGTGATCCACATGCACAGGGCTTCCCCCCAACCCCCCGTAGCCTTTTATGTCCTTGAAAAAGAATTAAGACAACTGAAATGTGCCGCCATGCCCAGCTAATTATTTTCTTTGTTTTTGTTTTGAGACAGAGTCTGCCTCTGTCGCCCAAGCTGGAGCGCAGTGGTGCGATCTCGGCTCACTGCAAGCTCCGCCTCCCGGGTTCACGCCATTCTCCTGCCTCAGCCTCCCGAGTAGCTGGCGTGAGCCACCGGGCCCGGCATTATTTTATTTTTTGTAGAGACAGGGTTTCACCACGATGCCCAGGTTGTTTCACATTGTTTTAATCCAGGCTGGTTATAAACTCCTGGGCTCAAGCAATACACACACCTTGGCCTCCCAAAGTGCTGGGATTATAGGCTGAGTCACTACACCCAACCTCTACATCATGACTTCTTTAGTGGCGCATAAGGTAACTGGAACGAGTGTAGGCTTTACCGCATCTCTTACATTCATAGGGTTTTTCTCCAGTATGAATTCTTTCGTGGAGGTGAAGGGAACTGAGGCGACTGAAGGCTTGGTCACATTGTTTACATTCATAGGGTTTCTCTCCAGTATGAGTACTTCTATGGTTACAAAGGGAACTCAAACGACTAAAGGCTTTGCCACATTGTTTACATTCATAGGGTCTCTCTCCAGTATAAATGCTTCCATGGTCATGAAGGGAAGTGGAACAGCTGAAGGCTTTATCACATTTGGTACATCTCTCTCCAGTGTGAGTCCTTTCATGCATCTTAAAAGAACAAGAAAATCTGAGTGTTTTCCCACATTCCTTACATTCGTAGGGTTTCTCTCCAGTGTGAGTTCGTCCATGTATTAGACAAGAACCGGAAACAGTGAACGCTTTACCACATTGTTTACATTTATAGGGTTTTTCTCCTGTGTGAGTTCTCTGATGTCTTTCAACTGAATTGAGAAAATGAAAAGCTTTCCCACATATCGTACATTTATAAGCTGGATTTCCACTGTGCATTATCCTGTGTCTTCTAACACCTGGAACAGAAACAAAGAGTTTCCCACACTGTTCACATTTATATTGCTTCTCTCCATATGGTTTGTATCCTGAGTGGGCTAGGATGTGCCTATTAAGGAGGGAATGATGTACAAAGACTTTTCCACAAATACTGCATTCACATTGTTTTAATCCAGTAGAAATGTTCTCATTCAGATCAAGATTTGGAATGTGGCTGACAACTTGTCCATACTGACTACCTTCTTTGCTTTCACGCAGTCTCTGTACCATATGATTTCTGTAAAAAAAAATGGCAAGCACATTATTATTGGTTGGTTTAATAACTTTCTACTCATTCATAGGTCTTCGACTTACACTGCTACCAATACTAGGGAAAATGCATTTTTGTTTTGTTTTGTTTTTGTTTTTGTGCCATGACTGAATTATTTGAAAGTAAATGGGCTACTACTGAAAACACAGCTACCACCTGCATGGCTATGACCAAAATAGTAACATTCATATACACAATTTTGTAGTACTATTTTCAAGTAAACTGTTTTCCAAACACTGACTGCTACACTGATGTACGTTACATTTTGGTTGAAATTTCTCTAAAAGGAAATGAATTTCAAGTGACTCTTATTTGCTTTGATTGCTTGTTTTTAAATTCATGACATGCTAAGATTCCTTCAGAGGACTTTATTTCCTCTTCTCGGTGCAAATTATCTTGTATCTTTCCCAAGTTTTTTGAAGTGATCTTCAATATTCTGGTCTTTCTGTTTTTTCCTAAAATGCAGATGCACAAAATTATCATGAATTATTTCAAACTATAGAAACATTACTAGATTTCATGTTCATTGTACACAGTGCCCATGCCTGATTTATTCACCAAATCATTCCCTTGCCCCATTCCAAATCACAAATAGCACTGATGATAGGGAAATACTTCTGTAATTAAGTGAAATGTGTTGTCATTCTTACCTACAGAAGCCAGGTTCCTGCAGGTTTCCTGCATCACTTCTCTGGAGAGATTCTTCTGAGAAGAATCTAGCAAAGCCCATTCCTGCTGGGTAAAGTTCACAGCCACATCCTCAAAAGCCACAGAGTCCTAAAACATTCCACACATGTGGATAGAAGGATGAGTGAGACTGAGAGCACTGGGAATGTATACTCAATTCATAAGCTGTTTACATGATTCTAAAATTTCCAAGCATTTATTTTATGACTTGATTGTCACAACTCTTACTCTGCTCATGCATACTCCCTCCCACACAGCAGTACTAATGCTAGAATTGAACTATTCAAAAAGGCAACAGCAAAGTAGAAACACCCATCTCATGAGAGAATCCAGGGAGTAAGATTACGATATGCTGCTAGGAGTTACCTTTTAACTTCACTTTGTACATTTCTAGTATCTGTCATACTAAAGTCCTACCTGATGTGCATAAGTGAGTTAATATTATCAGTCCTGAGACTACTTATTCTTAAAAATACCTGCTCACAAAGTTCAATCTTTGTTTGTATTAGGAACTTACATTTTGAAAGGGATTCCACCAACCCAAGTAATAAGAATGACTCATTGCATCTAAATGGCTTATGCAGTATATTTTCCAAAACTTCTTCTGCTGAAAGTCTATTATTTTGTGTCACTGCAGTGGTGCTTAGGGAACCAGACACAAAAACACAGTCTGAACACTAAGTGTTCAATGAATTTCCCTGGTAGACAATATTTTACATGTGCTGTCACTTGTTAACTGTGGAAGTGAACCCATTCCACGTGATTACACCAAGAGAGAATAGGCTTATTAAATTTAATTGAGTAGTAAATAAAACCAATAATTGATATTTAACAATACTAATACAACAATTTTTCAAATTTCTATTGCACAATATCAAGGCAGAAAGGAATAAGAGGAAATAGGACACATGCTTTTTAAAATGACATTAATGTCACCACTTCCAGATGCTATTCCTATGAAACCACATAAATTCCCAAATCAGGTGGTTTTAGGCAAGAAAAGCTACTCTTTCATATGTAGTAAAAATGACCAATGTCTAATCATTTTTAGTCATCTAAAAAAAGAGTGATGGCTTGTCTAACATACTTCTAAGATTTTCAAACAAAAATATTCAGGACAGCACAGTGTTAGCAGAGAGATGAGCAAGCAGACCAAAGGAAAAAAAAAAGTCTTAATGACCCAGCATCTATATGGAAAGTTGAGGAATGATAGAGTAGGCACTATAGAATAGAAAAAGAAATTACATGCACTTTAAAATATGAGGCAAACCAGGCTGGCATCTACTTGGGAAAATGTATTGCATTCTTCTCTATTCCATGAACAATAATCATCTTATTATATATTCAAATACAAAAGATAAAACCAGAATACTTTCAGAAGTCACAGGAAGATTTTTTTTTAACGAAGGATTAGGCAGAATTTTTTTTATGTAAGAAAAAAGTGATAAAGGAACAGACAAACTCAAACATATTAAAATTTAGGGAATAAAAAGAAAATGGAGTGGGCCAGGCGTCGTAGCTCACGCCTATAATCCCAGCATCTTGGGAGGCTGAGGCAGGGGATCACCTGAGGTCAGGAGGTTGAGACCAGCCTGGCCAACATGGCAAAAATCCCGTCTTTTTGTTGTTTGTTTGTTTGTTTATTTGTTTTTGAGACGGAGTCTCGCATTGTCCCTTGGGCTGGGGTGCAGTGGCAAGATCTTGGCTCACTGCAACCTCCACCTCCCGGGTTCAAGCAATTCTCTTGCCTCAGCCTCCCGAGTAGCTGGGATTACAGGTGCCTGCCACCACGTTCAGCTAATTTTTTTGTATTTTTAGTAGAGACAGGGTTTCACCATGTTGGCCAGGCTGCTCTGGAACTCCTGACCTCATGATCCGACCACCTTGGCCTCCCAAAGGGCTGGGATTACAGGCATAAGCCACCGTGCCAGGCCTAAAACCCTGTGTTTACTAAAAATATGAATATTAGCTGGGTGTGGTGGTGGGTGCCTATAATCCCAGTTACTCAGGAGGCTGACACAGGAGAATCACGAACTCGGGAGGCGGAGGTTGCAGTAAGCAGAGATGGCGCCACTGCACTCCAGCCGGGCTACAGAGCAAGACAGCATCTCCAAAAAACAAAAAACAACACTCAGACACCCAGATAAGAGGATACACATGTGTCCACTGTCATAAATTCTTCACAAAGCTACAAGAGGGGAACTGACATTTTGGTGAATCTTTATAAATCATCAATTTATCTATCACACTTTTATTTCACCAATAGCATTTACAAAGCTAAGTCCTACAATTCCATTTGAAATTACCCTTAAAAAGAACAGAACTTTAAAACTTACTACATTCACTCTGGGGAAGAAATAAATACGAATTTTTAGCAAATGAAATACATCATTTTACCTTGCCTCTTTGGAAATAGTATTTTTATCTTTCAAGCTGTACTGACAAAATGTATCTTACAGTCAGTGAAAACCTGAAACTCAAATAAGCGGACAAGCCTTTTCAAGGTAACAAACTCAGTGAGAGGCAGTGCTGCCTCCAACGCAGACCTTTCTAAGTGTCACGGCAGGCCGTTCTATCCCTTAGGACACCCATCCTGTTCAGTAAAGTACTCAAAGACCACCTAGGAGGCACTGGCACTGCTCTTTGTCCTCCTGTGTGCCTTAAGTGCATTTTAATATTCAGGTTCTTGCGCATCCTCTCTGGGGTGGGTTTTCCTTGTCCTTTGGGACGGTTTTTCTCTCTTCACAAGTCTGAGACAAGCTAGAGAGCAGAAATCATTTCTGCCTTTTCCTCTCAATATCAGCATCCAATTGGTAAACCATCAATGTGTCTTCGAGGAATAATAACTCGGGCTGGAGGAATAATTTTAATGACCTAACTTTCATGACATTACATTGTATTGTCCATTAATTTTAATGTCCTAAAATTTTAATGACCCTAAGGGGTCACCATTTTAGATGAAACTATACCAGGAGATTCCTCTAAGGCCAAGAGCATCCAGCTGCTAACCTGAGAGACTCTACCCCCTACCTCAGGCTGTCCTTGGGGATGAGATGACCCCGGGGATGATACTCACTAGACCCGCCAATAGACATGGCCACTGTGGGTATCCTGGGTCATCCCCAGACAGTTCTAAAATGCCAGGACTAGGAAAAGACAGGAGAGTGGCTGAGGACACAACACCCTGTCAAGTTTTCACGGGGGGACCTCAACCTAAAGACATTTTGGTAATATGTACACTTAGGAAAGATGAAAAGAAGAGAGGCACAAAGATTTTTTTTACAGTAGTGTCAGATGATTTATTCTCCGCTTTCCTCTCATGTAAAATGTTTGGAAACAGAAAAATATTTTGGCCAAGGTGCCTCACGCCTGTAATCCCGGTGCTTTAGGAGGTCGAGGAGGGTGATCAATTAAGGTCAGAAGTGCGAAACCAACCTAGCTAACATGGCAAAACCCTGTCTCAACATACAAAAATTAGCTGGACGTGGTGGTGGCGCCTATAAGCCCAGCTACTTGGGAGACTGAGGCAGGAGAATCGCTTGAACCCGGGAGTCAGAGGTTGCAGTGAGCTGAGACTGCATCATTGCACTCCAGCCTGGCGACAGGGTGAGACTCCGTCTCAAAAAAAAAGAAAATATATATATACATATATATGTATATATATGTATATATAAGTGTGTGTATATATATGTATGGTTTGCTTCCTCATTCACCTTATCAAAGCCTCTCATTTACGCCCCTCCCCTGGACCCCAAACCACAAACCATGACTGCGGTACCCGTTTATGAATCGCGTTTGCTCAAACGCGCCGTTTAACGTTTTAACAAAGCCTCAGGTTAATTTTAGGGGGAGAAAGGTGGGACTGGAAGCTCCATGAACCACAGCTTCTCCCACGCTGGAACCCCGCTCACCGAGTCGGGGCTCTCCCGGATCACCCTCCCGTGGTCACCGCACTACCTGGGTGGGGGAGGCGCGGGGTTCCGGAGAGGGCTCCGGCCGGCGGAAGTGGCGCCCGCAGGTACAGACAGGACGCAGGGGTCCCGCTGCCCGCACCGCCCGGCCCTGCACAGAAGGGGACTGAGGCCCGGCTGCGCCGCGGAGACTCGGTCCGCAGGTTCCGCAGCCGATGGCTGGTTCAGCCCTCTTCCCCACCTCGGGAAGCCAGGCGCAGTCCACTCACCGTTCCTCGGCTTCCCGGGTGTCCCAGCGTCAGCTAGGGATGTCCCAATACCCGCAGGTCACAGGGTGGCAGAGGCTGCTGCAGAGCCACCGGGCCTCCCAGAGCCAGGAAGTAGCAGCGGAGACTCACAGGAAGAGCCTACGGTGGCGAAGGCGAGACAAAGCGCCCGCCAGCCAGATCCCGGAAGCCGCCCTCTCCTTTCCGGCGGTGCGCCTGATTGACAGGTCCCCACCCCCAGCGCCCCTGATTGTATGGGGCTTCAGGCCCCGCCCCCTCAGGCCCTGAGTGACAGGAGATTGCGATCTCACGTGAGGCTGGATGTGGCCAGAATGACCGTTTTGGCCTAGCGGTTTGTAGGGGGTGCGTCCTTCCTGCGCTGGGATCTGACCACGCAAGGAGCACATTCGCATTTAACCTTGTATACAAGATTATAGCTATTTTGCGTAATAAGATATAAAATTGCAAGCAATATAATGGCAATTCTGTAACTGCCCAGTGGGTTCACCTTGCCCGCTACCTAGACAGAGCCGATTTCTCAAGACCGGGGGAATAGCAATAGAGAAGGAGTAACTCACGCAGTCGGCTGTGCGGGAGACCGGAGATTTGATTTTTATTTTATTTTATTTTATTTTATTTTATTTTATTTTATTTTGTTATTTCTGAAACAGAGTCTTGCTCTGTCGCCCAGGCTGGAGTGCAGCCTCGGAGTTTTATGATTATTCAAATCAGTCTCCCTGAGCATTTGGGGATAAGAGTATTTAGAAAGTTTATTTTGCCAAGGTTGGGGATGCTTGTGCATGACACAGCCTCAGGATGTCCTGATGACAGTTGCCCAAGGTGGTCAGAGCACAGCTTGGTTTTGTTGGAGATAAATGCTCGGTGACGCAAAGTAAAACCAGAACTTAAGCAAAAGTTTTCTCAGCAACGCAGTTTACCTCTGCGGAAGCGTGCTGCTCTCATCAATCACAATCGCAAGAGCACACGGAATAAAGGAAAGCAGGGGTTTTTATTCCTAATGCAATCCCTACCTCTGGCATGGGCTAGGGCCAGACCTCAAGATCTACACTGACCCCGTTGGCTATTTGTGAATATTTTCCCAAATAAGGGAGGGGGAAGGGGGATGTGAGTTACAATGGTGGGACGTGTGGTTTCGAAGGGAGAAATGGGTGCAGAGCAGGTAACCAAGGGAACAGATGTGAGCTATTGATTAGAACTGAGGGGAAGGTTGTTTACAGTAACTAAGGGCAAGGAGGCATGGAGAACAAGAAAGTTGAGTTCGAGAACAAAACACAAGAACGTTAACATGCCAAACCTTGGAAGAGAAACTGACCGTATCTGACAGTTTTACACATTTTAGGGAGACAGGAGACATCAATCAACATATGTAAGATGAACACTGGTTTGATCTGGTACAACCTGAAGCAAAAGTGGGTCAACTCGAAGCCAGGAGGGGGCTTCCAGGTCACAGGTAGGTGAGAGAGGAACGGTTGCATTCTTCTGAGTTTCTGATGAGCCTTTCCAAAGGAGGCAATAAGATATGCATTCTTCTCAGCGAGCAGCGGATGACTTTGAATAGAATGGGAGGCAGGTTTGCCCTAAGCAGTTCCCAGATTGATTTTTCCCTTTATCTTAGTGATTTGAGGGGCCCAAAATATTTTCCTTTCCAATTTCCCCCTTTTGTTTTAAAAATATTTTGGAGAAAGCATTTTAGAAGAAAATCAGTCTCTGGTGGCAGGTTTTGTCTGACTTCTCATGGAGTAGCTGAGATTACAGGCGAGCGACACCACACCTAGCTAATTTTTTTTTTTTTTTTTTTGGTAGAAACGGGGGTCTCCCTCGGTTGCCAAGGCTGTCTCTGGTGCCCAACGCAGGGCTCCCCGTAATCTCTACAAATAATCCAGTGAAGGAACACCAGAGCGTGGAAAGCTGAGGACGACCGACAAAGGACTCCCGAGTAGGTTTTCACTTCAAGCTCTAGGGTAAGGAGGGCGCTCGGGGAATTCCAGGGAAACCTCGGGAAAATGTGGGTCGAGCTGACAGTAAGTTCGCTAATTACTTAAGCCTTGTGCAGCAGTTACTGCGCCGCGGAGGGGTAATTGTCAGCACCCAAAATCTCACATCTTTGTTCCGTCTGGTAGACAAGTATTCTCCTTGGTTCCTGGAATATGGAATCATGAATGTAGAAGATTGGGACAAGGTGGGGTCAGACTTAAAACGAGCACAACAAGTGGGCCGCGATATTCCCGTCTCTGCTTGGTCTGTGTGGTCTGCAATTAAAACAGCCCTGGAGCCCTTCCACACTGAGGAGGAGAAGGAGGATTTTCAGGATGACATTGGAAAGTTGAGTAATCAGGAGTCTAATTATCAGCTAAGTGAACCATGACAGTCTCGTTTAAAAAAGGGCGAGAAACGGGAAGGTATGTATGCTAATCTCCAGAGACTTATAAAAGAAACTGTGCCACCTACTGCGCCTTTAGGGGAAGGTCTGGAATGGCCACCCCCAGGCCAGCCTCCTGAATATTTGGAAGGGGAGCCTGGGACCCGCGCCTTGCCGCTCCCATCGTTGCAGGCCCCGCCAGTAACTATGGCGAAGGGAAGCTTCAGGCTTGTCCAACAGCCAATTAGGATGAGGGAATGATCCAGGCTTGCCCACCTGTTAGTTATGGTAGAGGAGTGCTGCGAGCGGGTCCAAATACAAATATGGCACAGGGACAATCCAGTCATCCATTCGCCAGGCACAAGAAATGGGGGATTTGAATGCTTGGCAGTTTCTGGTAATTATTTCACCAGCTGAGGAGGCCAGAGAACTTACTCAAGCATGCTGGGAGCCATTTCCTTTTAAAATATTAAAAGACTTAAAGCAAGCAATTGGACAATATGGGCCAAATTCCCCTTATGTTCATTCCTTGTTACAATGTGTGGCTTATAACAGACGCTGAATACCTATGGATTGGGAGGCACTAGCCCTTCCACTTTCCACCATGAGGTGAAAAAGACTGAGACTCCACCAGATGCAACTGCCCAATCTCAGACATTCCAGCCACCAATATTGTGAGCCAAAAGGACCTTTTTTTACTTATAAATTACCCAGCCTCAGGTATTCTGTTACAGAAGCACAAAACAGACTAAGACACAAATGTATGAAAAAACTCACTGAAGGTGTAGGGAAAATGTGTTGACCTAAGTCACTTTGAAAATGAATAGAATCCGTATGCTGAAGGCAAATGAACTATACTTCATCACTGGATTCCATTTTATAAAGTTCTTTCCAACAGAAGCAATTGTGAACAATTGTAAAACCACAGTATCTGTATCTGGAATAAAGCAATGACTTACATAAGTCACAGATGGTAGGAACCAGGTTTCTCACTGTTGAAGTGGGAGGTTACAAATTAGCAAGGGGAGAAGGCTAGAATGATTCATGTGATAGTAGATCAGAGGTGGAGACATGAATGTAAACTTATGTTTAGTTTAATATAGATACACACAGTTCTACATATAAACCTTTATAATTAATTAGGTGTGTATAGGTAGGTTAGACACACACATATACTTCCTAGCATTGCTAATGAAGAACAAGTGCTATTCAACAATGTGCTCATTCGGCAGCCAGATGTAAGTTTTCCTACCATTCTGAAAGGAATCATGCTCTTTGAAGAAATGTCTGATACTAGAACTGGGACAGTAAATATAGGAGTCAGGATAATCTTGAAGTATCAGAAAGTAAGTAAGTACTAAAAAAATTAAAATATATCAAAGAAAAATAATAGCCAATAAAAACAGCTACTGATGGCCAACACAGGAATGAATTGTAGTGTTGAATAATAACTAAAGCTGAAAGTAATTATCTAGGTGTCTGTATTTGTATACACAGGTGAATAAGAAAATGGAGTTGCATAGAAATCTCCTTTGCAAAAGAATTCCAATAATTGATGTAGACACTCAGCCATCAAGAATGTGGAGCCAACACCTCACTCCGTAAGTGTGGGCTCCGCACAGTGTCGTGCTCCAAAAGAACCAAAACACATGCAGTATGGGCAAGGAGGAAAAATAACTTCACACTGGAGAAACCTGACAAACAGTAGCTCTGCCAAATGATCCAAGTGAACATCAAAGGTGACAGTTCACCTTGAGAACATGCAGTGACAATGGGGGACATTCTACAAAATTCCTGACCAATCCTCCTCAGTAATGTCAAGGTCATCATGACACGGAAAGCCTGACACATTGTCACAGCCAGGAAGAGCCCACAGGGACGTGATGACTACATGTCATGCGGGATCTTGGATGGGATCCTGGGTCAGAGTAAGACAGAACCAAGGGCATCCAAATGAAATATGAACTTTAGTTAATAATAGTCTATCAGTATTGGTTCATAAACTATGACAAATTATGTAAGATATAATAAGCCATGTGAGATACACTGATTGAAGATGTTAATAAGAGATGAAACTAGGTTGCAGCTACATGGGAAATCTCTGCATTTTGGGGGGGGCAATTTCTGAGTAAGTAAAAAAATGATGTAAAATAAAACTTTATTTAAAACAGTTATATTTTTTAACACTTCCTTGTTTAATTATTTATACCATGAATTACTAGTAATTGACACTGTTAACTAGTCCTGTTTTTTAAAATAAGAGCATTTATGACAAAAAATTAAACAGAGCAGATTGATATATAAATAAAAACAAATGCTCTTTACATGCTTTCCGTTAGAGTAGTCACACATACGAGTAAACTTAATTATCATATTTTTTTCTTGTGTTGTGGTTGTGTCCCAGGTTCATTCTCTAAAATGCTGTTCGCCTTAGACCAGGAAAAAAAAATAACCTTATAGGCTCTGTTTCAATTCATGGCTAAATATTTTCAAAAGAGTGACTTTGTAAAAATATGTTCCAATGGAAAATTGATTCATTATGATGGGATCACTTATTGCAAAGACTTCTTGTCTTTATTTTGTGCCCATGCCTACCTTTTAGTCATAATACAACAGAATCAAATATTAGCCACTGGGAAAAAATATTCAAAGAAAGAAAGAATGTGGAGAGAACTTATGACATTGATGATTCAATGTTTTACCACAATGCTTTCTAAAACAGAAGAGTGTAAAAGGATATTCAAAGTCAATTTCCTCAGTGAGGCTTTGCAGAAAATGAGGAAACTAAGGGAAAAAAAATGGCAGGACATTCTACAGGTGATTTTAGATGTTGCTATGTTTTACGGGAAAAAAATACTTTTACCTTTTAAAGAATCACAAAGAATTATTGGAAACCCAGACTCTGGAATGTTTGCAAATTTAGTTGAGCTTCTGTGTAATTATGTCTATATAGCTAGCCACAAAGTTGATGATTTTTTTAAAATCTGTGCCTTATTTGTGTAATAAAATACGCAATGAATAATTAATGCTCATAGGAAAACATGTTAGACCTTGTGAAAGGAAAATCAATCTTGGGGACCCAAAATCACTAAACTAAAGGGAGAAGTCAAGCTGGGAACTGCTGAGGGCAAATCTGCCTCCCATTCTATGCAAACTCACCCATCTGCTCACTGAGAGAAATGCATATCTGATTGCCTCATTTGAGGAGACTAATCAGCAACGCAAAAGGATGAAACCATTTTCTCTTACTACCTATGACTGGAAGCCCCGTCTGGGCCTTCTCAATTTCTGGACTGAACCAATGTACATCTTACACATATTGATTGATGTCTCTGTCTCCCTAAAATGTATACAACCAAGCTGAGCCCTGCACCTTGGCCTGTGTCAGACCTCCTGGATGCATCAGGTACATCCTCAGCTGGCAAAATTTTCAGGGTTCACACATGTAATGTAGGATGTCAATGTTCATAAAAAGACATTGTTCTATCTACTATTAAAATATGCTGCCAATTAACCTTGACTTTCTCAACAAAATAAAAAATGTTGATGAGGTACAAATAATATATTTAAACTTAAATAATGTTGCAAGTTTTAATATGGATACTTTTCAATTTTTCAATACTATTTTTTACTACTTTAACACTGTAAGAAAAATTAGTAATTAAAACATGAATAAAAGTGTTTACAGCGGGGTGCACATGTTTCCTCCAGCCTCTGCCCATCCCCAGCTTTCATCCCAACTGTCCTGATGGTGGCTCTAAGCATTGCTCCTTTCTCTGTACCAAGACTTCTCCCCAGAAACAAGCCCAAATCTTACCATATGTTATGGCACGCTCTGATGATGAACAGCAGCAGCCAAAGCCTCAAGGCAGGGAGGCTTTTGTAAAACAAGACTTGTAGAATGTAACATGTGAAAGTAAAGCCCATAGCAGAGCTCCCTCCTCAGCACGCGGGGAGCAGACAGGAAGCTTTTGCCTCACCTTCCTCAATGGCCTGCAGCCACATCTCCCCAGGTCAGTCTTAAGGACAACGAAACTCTGGTCTTCAAGGTGGACACGCTACTTGGTGCTCCAAAGCCATGGTGACCCACTCTCAGGTGGGTCCCGAAGAGAGCAAAGTTCTGGTTCTAGTCCTAACCCTAACCCTTCCCAAGACTATGACCCTGAACCTAAACCCTGATCCCTACCCTGGTCCCTAATTCTGATCCTTACTTTGACCCTGACATCGATCTTGACCCTGACCATGACCCCACCTCAAACTATACTTTTGGCCCTGACTCTGAGCATAATCCCTGTTATTATATTTACGATCTATCTCTAGTCTTACCCTCTAGTGGTAAATATCTGTACCCAAACGCACTTTTAAATTATTTAACTTCTTTTCCTTGAATTCTCTAAGGACATCCTAAAGGAGATGTCATTACGTATTTTGCAGTCCCTCTGAGTGGTATGGCTTCAGATAATTTCTAATACTTTGCAAGACATAAAAAGTTTGGAGAGTGACAGCACTGGGTTGTTTGGGATGCATGTTGGCATTCATGATAGTCATTGGTGCTGTTCTCCAAATATTTTCAGTTCACTTTTTATGAATGTATTCTGACTGTTCCATCCCACCTACTTAAATTTTCACATGGCCATATGACTGTTTTTTTTTTTCTTTGCCAATGTAGGTGAGAAGAAAATAACATGTGACTTTTTCAGGAGAAATTTCCAAGAAACAGAGTTCTATTCCGCATGCTTTTTTCTCTTTTCTATAGCAATGGGGATCTTATTGATGGTCCCTCCTTCTGTCTGGATTCCTGTGTTAGGATGATACAGCACAGAGCTACCTCTCACCTGACCCATGATGAGATGTATATAAAAAAGGAAGAAGATTTTTGAGCCACTGTAATTTGAAGGTTGTCTGTCACCACAGTTTAACCTAGCTCCCATTGACTGATGCAAGGCTGAAGAATGAGTCCAAACTGGATCTGGACAAGACATGTGAAGAGCACTCCAGGTTGAATAAAATTCAAGTGTTGTCTCAAAGATAACAGCATGATATGTTATTGGGTGGGTGTAGGATAAATAAGGTATATCAGGTCAGAATAATGAGAAACTCAACTTTAAAAGACGGTGCTGATTTGGACTGTGGAGAGATTCAAATGCCCTGCTTAGCATTTGAGACTGTGATGGTTGAACAAACTAATTAAAAGCCCTAAATGAAGACTTGGGATAAATATCTGAGGGTGTCTAATATCCCAATTTTTCATCCTAGAATGGGCAGAGTCCTTGACCCCATTCTAGTGAGACTTCCAAAAGAAAAAAGACCTACATTTCTTCAACAACCCACATTGAGAGACTTTCCTGCACTTTTGACCTGTGGCTAACACTCCTCACCTTTCATTCTGTCATCAGCATTTTGGGGAAACACCTTTAACTCTCTATGATTTACAGGTTATTAAGTGGCCTTTATATTCCCTCCAGAGGTGGAAAGGACTAATGATGATGGTGTCTGAGCTCACAGCAGCAAGCAGGCATGTGTGCTCAGCAGTCACGTGGCTCATCTGCTAGGAGCTTACTAAATACGATATTCTACAAGCTGCTTAACACAAGGGGAGACGCTCCTGACTCAGAGGGTTTAATTGCTCGCCTACTTCTTTTTCTGCCCTCTTGGGCTCCTAAAATGAAAAGAAGCCTGGGGTTATAAATGAGTCAAAGGGGTGCCAGCCTATCACAGCAAAATAGATTCCTAAAAAATCCCTGGCCTAAGATGACAGCCTTGGCTGGATAAGTTTGACTATGCTGATAGCGGACATGGAGAGTGAAGGTGGTTGAAATGTTCATATTAAAGAATTTCCACCCAGATTACAAGAAAAGAAGAGGAATGGAGATGGCAGCATGAGTCCCTACAATAAAAGCAGATGTTTTGAGATCACTTATATTGTTCTGACAAAAATTAAAGACAGAAACCAAAGTTTAGCCTGAGGCTAAAATTAATTGGGCAATAAGCCAGAGGCACATATGACTAGACAGATTTAAACATTTCTCCCTTATATTAATACAAATACTAAACTTACAAATAAATTGATTCCAAATAACACAAATATTCAAAAATTTGATGAA